TTGGATGGTCGTTAAAAAAATATTCTTTAAAAAATCCACGCCTTGGATGGTCGTTAAAAAAATATTCTTTAAAAAATCCACGCCTTGGATGGTCGTTAAAAAAATATTCTTTAAAAAATCCACGCCTTGGATGGTCGTTAAAAAAATATTCTTTAAAAAATCCACGCCTTGGATGGTCGTTAAAAAAATATTCTTTAAAAAATCCACGCCTTGGATGGTCGTTAAAAAAATATTCTTTAAAAAATCCACGCCTTGGATGGTCGTTAAAAAAATATTCTTTAAAAAATCCACGCCTTGGATGGTCGTTAAAAAAATATTCTTTAAAAACTCCACGCCTTGGATGGTCGTTAAAAAAATATTCTTTAAAAACTCCACGCCTTGGATGGTCGTTAAAAAAATATTCTTTAAAAACTCCACGCCTTGGAAAAAAATATTCTTTAAAAAATCCACGCATTGGATGGTCGTTAAAAAAATATTCTTTAAAAAATCCACGCCTTGGATGGTCGTTAAAAAAATATTCTTTAAAAAATCCACGCCTTGGATGGTCGTTAAAAAAATATTCTTTAAAAAATCCACGCCTTGGATGGTCGTTAAAAAAATATTCTTTAAAAAATCCACGCCTTGGATGGTCGTTAAAAAAATATTCTTTAAAAAATCCACGCCTTGGATGGTCGTTAAAAAATATTCTTTAAAAATCCACGCCTTGGATGGTCGTTAAAAAAATATTCTTTAAAAAATCCACGCCTTGGATGGTCGTTAAAAAAATATTCTTTAAAAATCCACGCCTTGGATGGTCGTTAAAAATATATTCTTTAAAAAATCCACGTTTTAGATGGTCGTTAAAAAATATTCTTTAAAAAATCCACGCCTTGGATGGTCGTTAAAAAAATATTCTTTAAAAAATCCACGCCTTGGATGGTCGTTAAAAAAAATATTCTTTAAAAAATCCACGCCTTGGATGGTCGTTAAAAAAATATTCTTTAAAAAATCCACGCCTTGGATGGTCGTTAAAAAAATATTCTTTAAAAATCCACGCCTTGGATGGTCGTTAAAAAAATATTCTTTAAAAAATCCACGCCTTGGATGGTCGTTAAAAAAATATTCTTTAAAAAATCCACGTCTTGGATGGTCGTTAAAAAAATATTCTTTAAAAAATCCACGCCTTGGATGGTCGTTAAAAAAATATTCTTTAAAAAATCCACGCCTTGGATGGTCGTTAAAAAAATATTCTTTAAAAAATCCACGCCTTGGATGGTCGTTAAAAAAATATTCTTTAAAAAATCCACGCCTTGGATGGTCGTTAAAAAAATATTCTTTAAAAAATCCACGCCTTGGATGGTCGTTAAAAAAATATTCTTTAAAAAATCCACGCCTTGGATGGTCGTTAAAAAAATATTCTTTAAAAAATCCACGAATTGGATGATGGTTGAACAAATATGGTCGTTAAAAAAATATTCTTTAAAAAATCCACGCCTTGGATGGTCGTTAAAAAAATATTCTTTAAAAATCCACGCCTTGGATGGTCGTTAAAAAATATTCTTTAAAAAATCCACGCTTTGGATGGTCGTTAAAAAAATATTCTTTAAAAAATCCACGCCTTGGATGGTCGTTAAAAAAATATTCTTTAAAAAATCCACGCCTTGGATGGTCGTTAAAAAAATATTCTTTAAAAAATCCACGCCTTGGATGGTCGTTATTTCAAAAATATTCTTTAAAAAATCCACGCCTTGGATGGTCGTTTCTATTTCAAAAATATTCTTTAAAAAATCCACGCCATAGATGGTCGTTAAAAAAATATTCTTTAAAAAATCCACGCCTTAGACTTAGATGGTCGTTAAAAAAATATTCTTTAAAAAATCCACGCCTTAGACTTAGATGGTCGTTAAAAAAATATTCTTTAAAAAATCCACGCGTAGAATGATGATGAAAAAATATTCTTAAAAAAAATCCAAACCTTGTTGGATGTTTTAAAAATCAGTTGTAATTTTTCAAAGTGCATAAATCATCTGTTTGAATCCTTAAAGTTTTTTTTCTATAATAAAAGCTTTATAAAGCTTTGTAATCCTTTAACTAATCAAAACAAAACATAAACACCAAGGAATAACAATAAAATATTATGGATATGGAAAGCGTTCGTAACCAAAGTGTCAACGAAGGGATTTAAAAACAACAAAAATCTATAAACAAAATTAAAAAAAATCAAAGTAAAAAAACATTTTTTTCTAAAGAAGTGTACACCTTTTAAATCTTCAAGTGCAAATAAATAGGAATATAAGGGATCCAAAGTAAATTCGTGTTGTAAAAATCGATTTGGAATCTACGACATTTGCAAACAGAAAAAGGATATACTAGATATCCTTCGGAAGAAAACAGTTAAGTAATAAATAATAATTTACTTTGAAAAAAGTTCATTAAACCACAAATTAAGGTCTAACACGAACCAATGATTCTTTTTATAGCAATCATTATAGAAGGACCTATTCGAGTGAGACCCCAAGGTCATATAAAAAAAATAATATAACGAATTGGAATTCTTTAAAAATTCCCAAGCTACCACCACCAACATACTATTTTCACTGTATTGACAACAACAACAAGAAGCAAATTTTCTTAGTAACCCTCCTTGGATATTTCCCTAACCTGGCAACTAATCGAACGGGCTCTTTGAAATTATGGCACACAGTGAAGGTCATTTGAAACAGCAAATAAAAATGCCGTCTACATCGTCTGCTACAGCTATACCGGCATCAAAGCCGCCGTCCTCTTCAGCAGCAGCAACTACCACCACCTCTCAACCAGCCCCCGCTCAGTCACTATCATCGAAATCTCTAAGTGATGGCCATTCCATTGTGGCCAATGCATTTCTAATGGATCCATCAAATATATCTAATAATCCGGTTCTGCATCCACCACCTCCGCCGCCCTATCCTTTTGCAGATTCTAAGCACCAGCAACAGATGCCACTTTATATGCCTCCTGAACCTACAAATGATAAAATAATATTCGATAAAACCACATCCCTGTTATCACTCGATGATGCTTTCGGACCGGCCGTTGTCACCGAACCTAAAAAGCGACGCTGGCTTTCATCGCTGCACAGTGTGATATTTATTATCACCTGTGCTTTGGCCATTTTCATTGTTTTTCGTAATGTTCTGACATGGTAAGTGAGAGCTCTACAAGAAAATATCATATTATGTTTACACTGTTTACACTTGTTCCGAGAGCGAGAATATTATATTGAAGTACATCTTTATGAACAAACTGAAGGCAAGCCTTTGATCCATGGAAGGCAAGCTTTGTATATTTGGATCTATGGAAGGTAAACCTTCGATCTTTGGAAGGCAATCATTCGATATATGTAAGGCAAGCTTTCGATCTATGGAAGGCCAGTCTTCGTTCTATGGAAGGCAAGCCTATGGAAGACGAGCCTTCGATCTATGGAAGGCAAGCCTATGGAAGACGAGCCTTCAATCTATGGAAGTCAAGCCATCTATCTATGGAAGGCAAGCCTTCGATCTTTGAAGACTGGCCTTCGATCTTTGAAGACAAGCCTTTGATCTATGACAGGTAAGCCTTGGATCTATGGAAGACGACATTATCTATGGAAGGCAAGCCTTCGATCTTTGAAGACTGGCCTTCGATCTTTGATGACAAGCCTACGATCTATGGAAGGTAAGCCTTCAATCTATGGCAGGCAAGCCTTCGATCTATGGTAGGTCAGCCTATCTATGGAAGGCCAGCCTTTGATATATGGAAGGTAAGCTTTCGATCTATGGAAGGCCAGCCTTTGATATATGGAAGACAAGCTTTCGATCTATGGAAGGCCAGTCTTTGATATATGGAAGGCAAGCTTTCGATCTATGGAAGGCATGCCTTCGATATATGGAATGTAAGCCTTCGATCTATGGAAGGCAAGCCTTCGATCTTTGAAAGAAGTCTTCGATCTATGGAAGACAATATTTCAGTACATAGAAGACCTGTCTTTGATCTGTGGAAGGCGATACATCGATACATAGAGAACCAGTCTTCAATCTAGGAAAGTCCAATTTTCGATCTAGGGAACACCAAGTTTCGATCTATGGAAGTCAAGCCTTCGATCTATGGAAGGCAAACCTTCGATCTATGGAAGACCAGCCCTTCCATCTTCAATATATTTACAGATATTTACAGACGACCTAATAGTAGGGTGTCTCTGCAAACAACCTGAGGTGCGTATTTATAGAAGATACCCTCTATTCCTTTGCTCTATGCTAAACTGACTCAATCGGAAATCTTAATAAAATTTAAACAGACAGCAATTTCCTACCCTCCAATTTCTGTTATAAAGAGTGACAAACCTATTGAGTGACAAAGCAACAATGAGTCAAGTAACTGTTACTCAATTTCCAGTTTTTGTTTTTGTCTTTCTCACTTCCACTGTCAGAGATAAAGATACAAAAATTCCCCATTGGGATATCGAACGGGAATGCTTCTTTGCTGCTGATATCCAAAAGCATTTCCATTCAATACTCCCAGAATACCCACAACACCATGGCAAAATAAAAATGCAATGCGAAAGTTTCGCAGCGAAACAAATCTGAGTTTTTGATTCAGTCGCTCTCAAGTGATCTCAACGAACGGTTGTTGTTGGGGCTGGCAGATATATACTCTGTAAACGAACGGATTGTGACAGCAACAACAAATCGAATTAAAAAAATACACACAAAATAAATAAAAGATAAAGGCATTTGCAAAATGTCAACAGCAAATGAAGGATATTGAATGAATTTAATCAATTTATTTAATTTAAATAAAAACACAAAATTTGTAAACGAATCATTTTAACAAACGTTATATAAAAGTTTAACACAAACAGCAACAACAACAACAAAAGAACACAACAGCAATATAAATTGATCAATTGTTTGTTTACATCACTCATTCCCCGTTATTTGACATATCTCCGCCCGCCCGCACACAACCACCACACCACCACCCACCCCTTTTTTTGTAAACAATGGAAAAATTACTAATGGACTATTTTCCCTTGATTCTCACCAGGCATTTACAAAGTTTCTGGGGAGCTTCTGGAGATTTTTGGCAAGCCCAATGGGATAAATTCATTGACATTACAGGTGAGTGTGAATTTCGTTGACGGTTATTTTTTCTTTTTTTCTTTTGATTTTTGCATTTTGCGTGTTTTATTATTCTCTAGAGAATATGCGAAGAAAGAGAAATGCAAAAAAGAAAATAAACAAAGCTTTGTTGTCGTTAATTAGCATTACAACAGGCAAAAAGCAAACATATGATCGATTCCATATGTGATAAGAATCGACATAGAATTTTATTCAGATTAAGAATATTTATAAACTTTATGAGGTCCCCAGTGAATAGTTGGAAATGTTGCGAACAGAATTACAAATTTTAATATACACTCTGCATTATCTTAGAGGTTATAAAACTGCATTCGATGTCACCTGGAAACAAACTAAAAAAATAACAATATTGCACTTTGATCGGTTTTATAGAAGACAATTTAGCAATAACCGTAAACGTTTACAATTTGTGAACTTTATAAAGGCAATCAATAACACCTTGTTGACAAAGAACTAACAGTGGCAGCTAAAAAATCTTTTTTTCGGATTACGAATATAACAATAAAATAAATCCACTTATTATTTTATAGCCTCGGTCTTATGGTATATACACTTTTAGTACATTCTTAAAAAAACGTAGACAATTTTGAAATATATTTTCGGAAAAATGGGTAGATTTTTTAAAATATATTTTTATAAGCATAAACAAAAAATATATTTTTTAAAGAATATTCAATGCGTAATTTTATATATTTTTTCAAAGATAAACAAAGCATAAATTTTTTATTAGAACAAAACTGGCAACCATCAAAATTACATTTAATATAAAATTATGTTTATAAAATTTGGAAAAAAGGTAATTACGAAAGAAGTGCCTATTTTTATCAATAAATATTTTTTTTAATTTAGTTTCAAAAAAAGAAATAGAATTTGAGTTTCTTATTTCAATCTCTTATTTGATTCTATTTGATACCAGAAGTTTTTCAAAATGCTCCTTCCAGATCCTCAACACGCTGTATGTATGTGTCACCAAGTTTCCTTATCTCTACAGTAGGATGTGCATGCACCAAAGCCTCCGAATTGGTGTTTTACTCGTTGGTAAAATTTCCGGGCTTCATTTTGACTCCTGTACATCTCGATTTGCTTACGCTCACGTTTTCTTGTTCTTTCTTCTGAAAATACGTTTCTCCTCTCTCCTTTGCTCCCGATAATTCTCCATCGCATTACGTGTTGCTACTGTCTGCAGGCTTGCCCCTATACGCTGCGTTTTTCACATCAGTAGCATCACGACACTCCTGATCGTTGCACGGGTTTCTTGATGGTGGTTTTTGGTACCCAAGTGTTGCTTGGTGTTGTAGTAGGTTTCTGTTATCTGTTGTGTTTGCAGCTTTTCGATGTAGATTTTCCGTGTTATATTAGATCGCACCTTTGCTTCTACATTAAGACTGGTGCGAACCTTGGCTGCCACAAGGTAATGGTTCGAATCGAAATTCGCTCCTCGGATCAATCGAACGTCTAAAACACTGGATGAATGCCTTCCGTCTATCACAACATGATCAATTTGATTTCTCGTTGCTTGATCGGGAGAAATCCAGGTGGCCTTATGTATATCGAGAAGCTTGAATCTTGTGCTTCTAACTACCATGTTTTTTACTGCCGCGTCAATCAACTTGTTTGATGTTTCTTCATGGAGGCTGAATTTTCCGACGGAAGGGCCAAAAATATTTTCCCTCCCGATTTTTTATTAAAATCTCCCAGAAGAAAATACGTTTGCGGGGTCGTCACATTGGGGGGTTTGGATTTCTTTTTCGTTGCTTTTTCAAAGTAAAAGGTGTTTTCCGAGAGTGGGCAACTAAAACGACTTGGCACATATCAGCTCACTATTTCAATGGATGATGAAAATAGTTACCCCAGGTAACTCGGCGGGGAGGTTAGTGTCCACAATTGAAATGTAGAGGCAAAAAGATAAGCCTGGGCTTCGCCATGTTAAAGCCAATCAGAGCCGTTGCTTGGTATCATCCCCTACGCCACCCTGGTTACAAACAATTATAAATATCGGACGATATTTAGGAATAGGTCCCATGTAATGCTCTAATCCCTTTATAGATATTTTAATGGTCGTTTAGCATTACAAAGTACATAGCCACCCATATCAAGCCACATGTCATTTTCTTTCAAGATCCTAACTCAATTTCTCTTCACAAATTTTACAAGAATATTATAAGTTTTATTACTATTTTTTAAATTTGTTTTTTAAAATTGTATAAAAAACTATTATTTTTCTCTTGCAGGTGATGATCCGTTTATGTTTTGGGTATTCGGTACAAATATCTTTACAATGTTGGTCTATTGGCTGTTCGGTGGCTTCTACACATTTATGGATTTGACAAATTGTCCGGCATTTTTGCGTAAATATAAAATACAACCGGGCACAAATGAACCAGTAGAACGTGCCCGACTACTAAAGGTTAAGTTTATGTTATAGTGTTGTTTATTGAATTTAATTGTAGCAATGAACTCTATATATATTCACATACACGCAAATGTATATTAGGGTGTGTTGATTTATTTTCAAGAAATAGATTTGCAAAGAATAACGATTATGAGTTCAAATATCTCAAATATTGCTAAAGTTATTAAGTTGTTTGTCAATATCTAAAGTGTGAAAGGTGTATAGGGTGGCGTATTAGTGTTTATATAAAGTATACGCTATTTGTACCTCACATTAAAGCGAGTAATTTATTTATAATCAAAAATCACGCTCAAGCATCCTAATATACATATATCATATTTTTTATTTATTTGTGTGCGTTTTAATATATATTAATAGCTCTTTTGATTGTCTCTCAATTTCATCCATTACAGGTCATCGCAAAGGTAGTGACGAATCAAGTATGTGTCGGCATACCGATTGCAGTGATCTCCTACAAACTGATGCAATTGAGAGGTCTAACCCCAATACGCGAATTACCCACATTCCATTGGGTTTGTGTTGAGCTGACTATCTGCATTCTGATGGAAGAACTGGGATTCTATTACTCACATCGGTTACTGCATCACAAGAATATCTATAAATTTATACACAAACAACATCATGAATGGACAGCCCCGATAGCAGTGACAGCTCTGTATTGTCATCCAATTGAGCATGTATTCAGTAATCTACTACCACCATTTTTGGGCGTCTTCATAATGGGTTGTCATGTGGCAACGGCATGGATGTGGTTCGCCTTGGCTATTTTGTCGACATTGAATGCCCACTCTGGCTATCATTTGCCGTTCTTTCCCAGTCCTGAAGCTCATGATTTTCATCATTTAAAGTAAGGATGTATTTTTTATCTGATCGGACTTTAGAATAACTTTCACTCTCGATTTTAGATTCAATAACTGCTTTGGAGTCTTGGGTGTCTTGGATCGTCTGCATGGCACGGACAGCTTGTTTAGAGCCTCGAAGTCCTATGCCCGTCATTTGATGATGTTAAGTTTTGTACCACCGCGTGAAGCCTTTCCGGATTCAACGACAAAATAAACAGGAAGGCCACATGATGATGATCCTGATTGTAGCCCTTTACCCAAAGGGGGTTGGGTCTCAATTTTGTTTTTAAAGAAAAGCTTTAACAAAAAATTTATATTTTTGTGTTTATTTTTTAGGTTAGAATAAGAGCGTGTGCGCGAGAGAATAATTCTGTGAGAATTACTTTTAGTTTTGAGAATTTTGAAATATTATCATGAGAATCTATAAATGGAGAGTTTCACAGTTTACCTTTAGTCTAACATAGATTTTAAGTGGTGAAAACTAAAACAACTACATATTTTATATAAGTCATACATATATAAAACTATTGTGTGAATAAATGAAGAGATATATAATATTGGGTGTTATTATTTACAATAGAAAATTGATAATAACCACCCTTAAAAATTATTCAAGGACGTTAATTATAAATTACCAAGTTATGGATAGTCCTTGATAAAATAACCTTTAATAAATCCAAGCCATGGGTGGCGTAGGGGGTGATAGATACCAAGCAACGACTCTGATTGGCATTAACATGGCGAAGTCCAGGTTTATCTTGGTCCCTACTACGAAAAAGCCAAGAAAAAGAAAACCAAACTCAATTAATTTTGACGACCCCCGCGGATGTACTCAAGAAGTACAAAACTGTTATTATTGCCTTACAGGAAATGCAATGGAAAGGGACTGGCGTAAGTAAATCAGATGATTACGCCCTGTATTATAGCTGCCATGAAACGAAACGTGGCTGCGGATTTATGGTTAACAGTAGAATAAAAAACCTCGTCGCCAGATTCACTCCAGTAGATGAGCGAATTGTTATAATCCGTATAAAAGCGAAGTTCTTCTGCATCAGTCTCATTTGCGCCCATGCTACGACCGAAGATAAAGATGAACAGACCAAAGACATATTTTACGACCGCCTAGAAACTTCATATGACCGTTGCCCTGGCCATGACATTAAAATTCTGCTAGGAGATCAAATCAAATCGATTATGTTGTTATAGACGGAAGTCATTCATCCAGTGTATTAGACGTCCGATCGATCCGGGGAGCGAATATCGATTCGGACCATTACCTTGTGGCAGCCAAGGTACGCAGGTGAGAGAAGAAACGTATTTTCAGTAAAAAAAGAAAGAACAAGAAAAACGTGAGCGAGATGTACAGGAGTCAGAATGAAGTGCGAAAATTCTACCAAAGGTAAAAAAGCGAAGTTCTTCTACATCAGTCTCATTTGCACCCATGTTCCGACCGAAGATAAAGATGAACAGACCAAAGACATATTTTACGAGCGCCTAGAAGAAGGAAACCTGGTGACAGATACAGAGAGCGTGCTGAGGATCTGGAAGGAGCATTTTGAAAAACTTCTGGTATCAAATAGTAGCGGTGAAGAGAATGCCCCAGAACCAATAATCGATGACAATATAGAGAGTATACCACCTAGCCAAGATGAAGTCAGAATAGCAATCAATCGACTGAAAATAATGAAGCAACATTATTGCCGATGGGTTACAAGCCGAACTATTCAAGACTGGTGGTCAGATGCTGGTAAAGAACATGACCCAGCTGATTAGTATAATTTGGCTAGAAGAATGCATGCCCAATGATTGGAACCTCAGCATGCTGTGCACCGTGCACAAAAAAGGAGACAAGACGATATGTGCCAACTATAGAGGAATAAGTCTTTTTCCCATCGCATATAAAGTGCTATTCAGCGTTCTGTGTGAACGACTGTTCTGTGTGAATGACATTATTGGACCATACCAATGCGGCTTCAGACCTGGCAAATCCACCATTGACCAGATTTTCACTCTGCGCCAAATCCTGAAAAAAACCACGAAAAAAGCATCAACACATTCCACCTATTCGTCGACTATAAATCCGCATTCGACAGCCCTTCAGAGGTGTTTAAAGACATGTCTGCGTTTGACATTCCTGCAAAATTAATACGTCTATGCAGGATAACTTTAACAGGCACAAGATCAGCATATAAAGTCGGAAAGGACCTCTCGGAGCCCTTAATACCGAACGTGACCTGTTCAAGATCCAGCTGGAAAAGGTCATACGAAAGGTAAAAGTTAACAGAAATGGCACTCTGTACACCAAACAACACATGTTACTCGCCTACGTCTATGACATCGACATAATGGTCGAACACTGAGAGCGGTAACAGCCACCTTTGAACAAATTGTGAAGGAGCCTGTCAAAATGGGTTTGGCAGTCAACGGCGAGATGGTATCAACGCCCAAGACGTCCAGTAGACTCGGACCAACTGTGGAACTTGAGAACTACAGCTTCGAGGTAGTCAAAGATATTATATACCTTGGTACCGCCATAAACAAAGCGAATGACATCAGTTTTGAAATTCGGAGAAGGATAGTGATGGCCAACAGATGCCACTATGGTCTGAGCATACAACTCAAAAGCAAGGCCACCTCCCGCCAGACCAAACTCACACTCTACAAGACGCTGATACTACCCATGCTGTTATATGGATCTGAAGCAGGGGTACTTGCGCAAGCAGATGAGAAAAATTCTCTGAAAGATCTATGGACCGAACATCTCGAACATCGACATTGTTAGACGTATTGAGTTGCAGCGACTACGTTGGCTAGGTCATGTTGTGAGAATGGATGAAGATGCCCCAGCCCAGAAGGCATATAAAAGCGAACCACCTGATGGTTCACGCAGAAGGGATGAATGGATGACAACATTGTCGAATATGGTATTTCAAATTAGAAAAACTGCGACGAGCATTGAAATCTTTTTTATGCTCGGCTTATAGGACGAAAGTTCTGTCACAAGCCTAGCTGGCCTTTGACAGTAAATCCAAGCCATGTCTGGAGGTTTAAAAATATTCTTTAAAACATCCTTACCACGGATGGTGCTTTAAAAATATTCTTTAATAAATCCACGTCTTAGTTTAAAAATATCGTTTTAAAAAACTACGCATGTAAAAGCCCGAAAACATATTTAAACAAATCACTCATGATCATTCTTCATAAAATACTAAACTCTTAGTAACCAATACCGTCATGGGTACTTTAAAAAGCAAAAAGTGGTGGTTTCTTATTGTTCAAAATTTTTCGATAAGACTAATATTACTAATTTTGGAAAATAACAACAACAGCAACAATTGTTTATAAACATTATCGATATGCAATTTGTGTGTGTATTCCCTGATAAGCTACAAATAATTTTTGATAACCTCTTGAAAAAAAAACTAAACACCGGCAGTTCAAATGTTTTAGTTCTAATCACACCATTAACATGAACACCGGTGCCGGTCAAATTCTTGATCTCATAGCTGATAAATATCACTATGTGGGATATGTTTTAGAAAAGAAATGGAATGGCTTGCTGGATATTATAGGTAAATTATTGAAATTTGCAATTAAGAAATTAATAATCCAAGTATTTTCTAAACAGGTGATGATCCCCAAATCGTGTGGATCTTGGGTACCACTGCGGTATTTATGCTGGTCTATTGGCTGAATGCCAGTTGGTATACCTTTATGGATGTCACCTTGAAACCGAAGTCTGCACGAAAATATAAAATTCAGCCGGAGAAAAATGCACCTGTTGAAACGAAAAAACTTATTGAGGTTAGTAGTGTGCACCAATGGGATCTTTAAAGTCAGCTTTTTATGCTCAGGCACTGAGGACAAGTTTTTCTATAGGAAAAAAAACGAAAATCAATTTTTTCTATGGAAAAAATTCTTTATCCTCTATGGAGAAAATTCCCAATCTCTGATGAAAGAAATTTTTCGTGTAGACAAAATTCCCCAGTTTCTGGCGAAAATAAAAAATATGTTCTAAAATCCTGCAAATAAATTAGTACCCCTTCTCTTCCTAACAGGGCATCCTTAATGTCTTAATGAACCAGACCCTTGTCGGAATTCCCATGTATTATATCCTCTATCACACACTCTTCAAGGTCCGTTGCAATCAGACACCCCTACGTGAGCTACCCACCATGCAAAAGGTCCTCTTCGACATAGTCGTCGTTTCCATATTAGAAGAATTCTATTTCTATTACATTCATCGGGCAATGCATCACAAATCGATATATAAATATGTCCATAAGAAACACCACGAATGGACTGCGCCCATTGCGGCGATAACCTTCTATGCTCATCCCTTGGAACATATCTTTTTGAATTTAATACCCGTATCGCTGTCGTTTGCATTGGTCCGCTCGCATGTCTTTACCGTCTGGCTGTTCCTGACATTGGCCATCTTCAATTCAATGGCAGATCATTCGGGATATTCATTTCCACGTTCCGGCTCTTCGATACGTTATCATGATTTGCATCATTCGAAGTGAGTTTGTTTTTGTTTTTTTGAGAAATGAATTTTAGAATTTTTTCCCAATATTTTCTAATTTTATTCCGATTTCAGATTTAATTATAACTACGGCATGTTTGGATGGTTGGACAAACTTCATGGAACCTATAGAGAATCTAAAGTGGAAACGGAACCTAGTGTTAAAAATAAGGGCAAACATATCAAAGACAAAAGTGTAAATAAGAAAATGAAGAATAAATAAATGTACCTAAGTCGGAACTACAAGGGTGGACTTTTTAAATAATATTTTCGACTTTGTCTTTTGAGAACTTACTTACTTACTTAGCTGGCTTGTGACAGTAGTAGCTGCAGCTCGATACGACTGACTATGTCGATGTCCGTGTATAGATTGTAAAGTTCGTGATTCATTCGACGGCGATATTCACCGTCAACGCAGATCGGTCCATAGATCTTTCGCAGAATTTTTCTCTCAAACACTCCAAGAGCCTCATCTGCTTGCGCAAGTACCCATGCCTTAGATTCATATAACCGCACGGGCAGTACCAGCGTCTTGTAAAGTGTGAGTTTGGTCCGGCGGGAGGTGGCCGTGTTTCTAAACTGCTTACTTAGACCATAGTAGCATATTTTGGCAAATACTATCCTTCCCCGAATTTCAAAACTGATGTCATTAGTTTTTTTTATGTCAGTACCAAGGTATATAAAACCTTTAACTACCTCGCTGTCGTTCTCAAGTTCCACAGTTGGACCGAGTCAGCTTGGTCTTCTCGCCATTTAATGCCAGACCCACTTTGGCAGATTCCTTCTCAATTTGTTCAAAGGTGGCTGTTACCTTTTTAGAATATTTACTTACTTAGCTGGCTTGTGACAGAACTTTCGTTCCATACGCCGAGCTTAAAACAAATTTCCAGGCGCCTCGGTTTTTTGCGCAGTTTTTCCAATTTGAAATACCATATTCGGCAATGTTGTCTTCCAATTGGTCTTTCAATCTTATTCGTGGCCTTCCCCTTCTGTGTGAACCATCAGTTGGTTCGCTTTTATATGCCTTTTGAGCTGGGGCATTGTCGTTCATTCGCACAAGATGGCTTAGCCACCGTAGTCGCTGCAGCTCAATACGACTGACTACGTCGATGTCCGAGAATAGACATAGATCTTTCGAAGAATTTTTCTCTCAAACACCCCAAGAGCTGCCTCATCTGCTTGCGCAAGTACCCATGCTTCAGATCCATATAACCGCATGGTTAGTATCAGCGTCTTGTAAAGTGTGAGTTTGGTCTGGCGGGAGGTGTCCTTATTTCTAAACTGCTTACTTAGACCATAGCAGCATCTTTTGGCCAATACAATCCTTCTCCGAATTTCAAAACTAATGTAATTAGTTTTATTTATGACAGTACCAAGTTCCAAAGTTGGTCCGAGGCTATTGGACGTCTTGCGCGTTGATACCATCAGCTTGGTATTCTCGCCATTTACAGCCAGACCCACTTTGGCAGATTCCTTCTCAATTTGTTCAAAGGTGGCTGTTACCGCTCGCAATGTTCGACCCATTATATCGATGTCATCAGCGTAGGCGACATGTGTTGTTTGGTGTACAGAGTGCCATTTCTGTTAACTTTTACCTCTCGTATGACCTTTTCCAGCAGGATGTTGAACAGGTCACACGACAAACTGTCACCCTGTCTGAATCCTCATTCGGTATTGAAGGGCTCTGATAAATCCTTTCCGACTTTAACTGCTGACATTGTACCAGTTAAAATTATCCTGCTTAGTCGTATTAATTTTGCAGGAATGCCGAACGCAGGCATGGCTTTAAACACCTCTGAAGGGATAGGGCTGTCGAATGCGGCTTTATAGTCGACGAATAGGTGAAATGTGTCGATGTGTTTTTCGTGGGTCTTTTCTAGGATTTGGCGCAATGTGAAAATCTGGTCAATTGTGGATTTGCCAGGTCTGGTCCAATTATATCATTGATTTCAGTCGTTCACACTGCACAGGGATAGGGCTGTCGAATGCGGCTTTATAGTCGACGAATAGGTGAAATGTGTCGATGTGTTTTTCGTGGGTCTTTTCTAGGATTTGGCGCAATGTGAAAATCTGGTCAATTGTGGATTTGCCAGGTCTGTTCCAATAATATCATTGATTTCAGTCGTTCACACTGCACACTGGATAACATTTTATATGCTATGTGAAGTAGACTAATTCCTCTATAGTTGACACATATCGTCTTGTCTCCTTTTTTGTTCACGGGACACAGGATGCTGAGGATCCAATCATTGGGCATGCATTCCTCTAGCCAAATTGTACTAATCAGCTGGTGCTTGCTCCTGACCAGCATCTCACCACCAGTCTTGCATCGTTCGGCTGGTAACCCATCGGCTCCTGCTGCTTTATTCTTCATGAGCCGATTAATTGCTACTCTGACCTCATCTTGTCTAGGTGGTATACACTCTATACCAACATATCTTATTGGTTTTGGGGCATCTTCTTCGCCGCCACTATTTGATACTAGAAGCTTTTCAAAATGCCCCTTCCAGATCCTCAACACGCTGTCTGTATCTGTCACCAGGTTTCCTTCTTCATCACTACAGGACGATGTGCCTGCACGACAGCCTTCGGTTTGGGGTTTAGTCGTTGGTAAAAAATCCGAACTTCATTCTGACTCCTGAACATCTCGATTTTCTCTCTTCTTTTTTTAAAAAATACGTTTGTCCTCTTTGCTTTTCTCCCGATCTCCATCGCATTACGTGTTGCTACTGTCTGCTGGTTTGCCCTATACGCTGCGTTTTTCACATCGGTAGCAATACGACACTCCTGATCATACCACGGGTTTCTTAATGGTGGTCTTTGGTAACCAAGCTTTTGCTACAGCTTTTAGGAGTTGGGCAATTCTCTGCTTCTATATTATTATCGGGACAAGGTGTGCTTCCGTCAAGCGGTTGGGTAAGTTCTGCGGAGTAGGCATCTGCTGTCTGTTGTGTTTGCAGTTTTTCGATGTCGAGTTTTCGTGTTACATTAGATCGCACCTTTGCTGCTACATTAAGACGAGTGCGAAACTTGGCTGCTACAAGGTTGTGGCCCGAATCTATATTCGCTCTTCGGATCGATCGAATGTCTAAAACACTGTATGAATGCCTTCCGTCTATCACAACATGATCGATTTGATATCTCGTTGTTCGATCGGGGGAAATCCAAGTGGCCTAGTGTATATCGAGATGCTTGAATCTGGTGCTCCTAACTACTGCCGTTGTCGGATGTTTCTTCATTGAGGCTGAATTTTCCGATGGTGGGGCTAAAAACATTTCCCCCGGGGTCGTCAACATTGGGGGGTGGGGGGTTAGTCTGGTTTTCTTTTTCTTTGCTTTTTTATAGTATTAATTTTTTCCGAGTGTGGGCAACTAACCTACGCCTCAATCCATGGATTATAGTTCTTATGGGTTAACTCGAGGCTCATATCAGCTAACTATTTCAACGGATGATGAAAATAGTTACCCCAGGCGACACCTCGTCCACAATTGAGATGAAAGAGGGGCCAAGATAAGCCAGGGCTTCGCCATGTTAAAACCAATGGCGTGGATTTAATAAATAATATTTAAAAAAATCAAAATCAAAGGCGTGGATTTATTAAAGAATATTAAAAAAATCAAAATTAGAACCGATCCCGTGTCATTATAAAAAATCTTTCTATTATCAATTGTCTGCAATACTTGCCTATATAATATTATGGGAATTGTGGGTTTATACCATCCATGTATAGCGAAATCAGCAAAATAATAAAAAAGTGAGGAATATCGTTCAAGTTCAGCCGAACTTAAATCCAATACTTACTGATATAATTAATCTGTTGATTTGACAAGAAATGATAAACCTATAAAACGGAGACGTAGTAGACATGTTTTAGAATATCTGCAAAAAATACTCAGAAGGTAAAAGTTTTATTAAATGGTCTACCATCTCATTATATTTATATGATAATGGAAAATTAAGTCACTTTACATGTCACTTTTATTTTCATTCATTTGCCGAACAATTACATCCCCCGATGACAACACTTTTAACAACGTTCCGACTCTGGCCCCTGGTTGTCAGAAGTTCAGAAGAGATAAGTAATTGTTGTGGTCTTTCGTTGTGTTTTTATTTTTTTATTTATTATCAATGGAATAAAATTCGAGTAGCGTCGTTGCTCAGGCAGTAATCACTGAACCTTTAAACGCAGATTAATTATTCGCAAAATATCAACACAGCGGGACGGTTGGTGCAAAAAATAAACTGCCGTCATGTTGACAAAGCTCGGAATTGAAATGCAAGAATATTGGAATAAATTCTTGGATGCTACCGGTAACAAAAAAACAAAAATATACATATAAAAATGTGTTATCTTTCCAAATACAAATTTTGGCAAAATGAAACCTATTATGCAGTGTGACATAGCGATTTTTATTTAAAATATTTTAGAATTTAATTCAAAATCATGAAATTTGAACTTTGAAATTCTTCGCATTCATTTGAATATTTTTTTGCCGTTTGTGTGTATCGCAGGCGATGATCCTACCCGTGTCTGGGTTCTAAACACTACCGTAATTGTCTTCGTCAGCTATTGGATATATGCTTCGATTTTCGGTATCATCGATTGGACCCAAAAGCCCAAATGGATTTTCAAATATAAAATACAACCGGAACAAAATGACCCTTTGGATATGCAGAAATTTTGGAAGGTAATATTTGAAATTTTATTAAATTGCCACTAGAAAAAAAGAGAGGTATTTAAAAAAAATAATCTTAAAAAAACCATGTCTTAAATGCCTTAAAAAATAATTTTTGAAAAACAGTGTCTGAAATATTTTTAATAAAAATATTCTTTAATAAATTCATGCCTTGTTTGGTCCTTAAAAAAATATTCTTTAATAAGTCCACGCCTTGTATGGTCCTTGAAAAAATATTCTTTAATAAGTCCACGCCTTGTATGGTCATTGAAAAAGTATTCTTTAATAAGTCCACGCCTTGTTTGGTCCTGAAAAAATATTCTTTAATAAGTCCACGCCTTGTTTGGTCCTTGAAAAAATATTCTTTAATAAATTCACACCTTGTTTGGTCCTTGAAAAAATATGTTTTAATAAATTCAGGCTTAAAATATCCTCGGTCCTGTTGTTGCTCAACAAATATTTTTATATCCTCCACCATAGTATGGAGAGTATATTAGCTTTGTTTTTCCGTTTGTAACGCATCAAAATAATCATTTCCGAACGTATA